GCAGTGGTCCCCAACCCCCGGGCCGCGGACCGGTACCGGTCCGTGGATCAAATGGTACCGGGCCGCCCAAGGAACATTAAATTACTGGTATTTCCATTTTATTTACTATGGTGTATTTCTCTCGGGTTTGTGCGACTTTTAATGGACGACGGAACAACGAAATAAACTGGACATAAGAAACACACTTCGGGTGTCATTGTCTCCTATTACCCTCAGATGGAACCGTCTTGTTGCAAAGAAACAAGCTCAGGGTTCTCATTGATTTAACGTTCTAGTGAGTTAAAATGTTAAAGCACATTATATTAATTTTTTGGTGTAACTATATTTTATTTTGAAGGCATGTTTAAATACAATTAAATTAAAATTATTAAATTAAATCAATCTAAAATATAAACAATCAACGTCCCCCTTCAGTGGGCCGCGGTAAAATATCAAATGTTGAGCGGTCCGCGGCGATAAAAAGGTTGGGGACCGCTGGCATAAACAACCCATATACCAGACATGGGCAAATGCGGCTCTTTTTGAGTTACGTGTGGCTCTTGCTGAAAGTGTTAATTTCTGCTTTTTATTATTATTTTTACAATTTTATTTCCACAATTTTGTGAAAATATGTTTATTAAAAAAATTCAATATTTGTTTTATATTGTATTTATATTATATAATAAAATAACAGTACAGAACTGCTGTACAAAATAAAAATTACAGAACTGCGGCTCCCACGCATTTTGCAAAACCTACATTTTGGCTCCCACTGTACTTTTGCTTGCCCACCCCTGCCATATACAGAAATAATCCTGTAAAGTTATTTTTAATAAACAAGCAAATGTTGACAAACATTTAAAATTTCAATTTCTTTTTATAGTTTCCTTTTCAGATGAATAATCAAACACTAAACGAAACATATGACATTGAATAGAGAGAAAAATTTTCCTTATCTCACTATATAGGAAAAAGTTGATATAATATATATATTTTTTGTTTTTAAAAGTAAATCATTGTACATAATTGAAATGTTTACAATGTTAGACAGAAAAACAATCGTGTAAAAAATAGAAAATTATCGTAATTTTCCTCAAATCGAAATACTAAAATGAATAAACTCTGGTTTGCAATTTTACAGCAATAACTCCTTTTCCACTAACTTATTAATAGCTTATTCTCGTCTTATAAAACAAAACAATATGAGAGAATTATTAATTACTTTTTAATTCAATTAAGAGATCATCATAATGTACATTAAAACATTGGAAAATTATCAGAGTTTTGTATTTGTCTCAATGCACACACCAACCAACATTCAAATTCTTCTAATGCATGTCTGCTGTCACTCCTCCCATGACAACCCCAATTCAACAGCTCCTGCAGATTACTTGTGTTGCATGATGACGAGCAATTCTGACTTTGTGAACTGCAACGCAAAATGCCTTCTCTGTGGCATAGTTGCCATTTTTGTTTATGGCACTTCCTAGAGATAGTAGACGATGAGACGTTTGAATGGAGATCAAACCAGACAGTTACTCTAGCAATTGATGTATGTCGCATACTTCTCGAATAATAATAACACAATTATAATAATTTTAAAATGGTAGCATTCTTTTGGAAGCCAATGTATTTCAACTTTACTTTAAAAATTTAACTCATTTATTATCATTTACTCTGAGTTTTACAAAGACATAAGAAACATTTTTTAATTAAATTCATGTGACTTCTGGACTAGACTGGAAGTTCATATATAGTTAATCGGGGTCTCCTGCCCCTAAGCTTTCCATATCCAGTCTTGACTTTCATCTTTCTAACATCTTTCTCGAGTTTAAGGAAGGACAGACACACAAACAGATGACAGTGGATTTATAGATCTACAATTTTTCTAAATTGCAGCCCAACCAGTGCTAGCTCAATATAAATGGATATATTCAAAAGTGTGGACATCATGAAGTACTATAAACATGAAAATAAAATGCTTTTCAAATCACTGGCTAAATACATTGATTTTTGCAATTGCATTTTCAATATAGGTACACATTACATTCAAAAACCAACCTTTTTTTCAGGTTTTGATGCCTGAAAAATTGGGTGTGCACTGGAATCAAGAAAACACAGTACAGGTATACCTCGACTTACGTCGTTTCGAGTTACGTCGTTCCCGATTATACGTCGTTTGTCAAGAAAGTATATGGAATAATAAAAATCAAGTTTAAGTCATTTTATTTGACTTTACGTCTGTCCGCCACAAATATTGAATTCGTAACATCACTAGAAAAATGTTTAAAGAACATAAAATCATATTATAATATATACATTTACAAGTACAGTATATATTGTATTTACAGTACATGCATTCGTAAATTTAATTTAATTTTTTCTGTACTATATTAAAAACTAAAATTTATTTGTTTGTAAGCTTAAAATAGATCCTTATTAACCATACATTATTAAAAATGCATTAATAAATAAAATACAGAACGGGAATTGGTAATTTATGGTTTAGCCTAGTGGCAAGTAGATTCGGAGACAAGTAAATTCGACTTACGTCGTTTTTCGACTTAAGTCGTTCTCCTGGAACCAATTACCGACGTAAGGCGAGGTAT